AATTATATACAGAGTATATATATATATATATATATATAATTTTTTGCACAAGAGAACTTTTTTTTTTATATTTTTACATCACTTCTTGCATATTGATTAACATCTCCAGCAGTCAATTAAAACAAAAAAGGGCAAGAAAATATAAAACCAATAGATTATAATAATAATAATAAAGAAAAAACGCTTTTATCTGTCCTTTAAACTCCTGAATTTTCTCATCTGAAAAGGGAAAAAAATATAAATAAAGTCACACCATTCAGTGCACTATTTTATTGCTGAATTCTTCATATTTATAAGTTTCCAATCACCAATAAAATAAAGGCACAGTTCTTGATGACTCCAGACATCCTCCTCGTGTATACTTTACAAGGACCCAAAGTTCAATAGTTAGTTTGTATTTTCCTATTAAGATTTATTTACACTTTGAGAAGCACAAAACAATTACATATTATCCTTCCGCAAACCCAACATTTATTCCGTTTGCTCACCTTACCCTCTTTTTTTCCTTTTCCCTCGCTTATTGTCAAGTGGGGCTTCACAGCAACTTATGAAACAGCGATTGACAAGAAAGGTATTTTAGTGGCATTGGTGTGCGTTTGTATTGGGAAAGTTTTGGTTAATTTACTGCATTACGTGGCCTTCGAGGATGATAATACGAAAACTTCATTAAATCTTTACATTCACCACCACATTACACTAAGTAAGCAAACAAAGTAATATTAATAGATCAATGGGATGGGAACTTTTTTGAATTAGTATATCCGGTTCCTCTTTTCTAGGAGCACTTTATGATATACATAGCTCCCCTGTTTCTCCACCCTTTACTATATTCAAAATTAGCTAGTTTCAGCTTCATCACCAGGGGCCTTCACGAGGTTTCGCCGTGCGAGACGCTGAACAATAGGTCGACCATAGTTGTACGTGCGAATAGGTAGAATATACCGCTCGATGTTGTCCACCAACTTCGCGAATTGATCAACGTCAGATGCATCCAAAACACGCTGGACGACATAGTTAGCATACTGGTCGTTCATCATCAAGCAAAGTACACTCGGCTGACTGAAACCGGATGTCTGCAATTCCTCGATGACGCCCATAGCCGCATCCTTCTGCTCACGGTTCTTCTCCTTCTGTGATTCCCGTGGGTTGTGAGTTTTATTCGCAACATTCCAGTTATTGCCGTTTGCGTTGTTTTCAAAGGCGTTTGCAGATGCCACAGTAACAGTGTCAGAACGCGTAAACTTCACGATTTCTACCATTGGTGCGTTCGCACCGACAATGGCAGGATCATCAGAACACATCAAATCCACCAATTCCATTCGGAGCCCCGGTTTAGACCGCGCATAGAGCTTCTCCATGACATTCGAGGCGAACTTCTGCCTACTCAAGACAAAGAACTTTGGCTTGAGGGCATTGTAGATACGTTCCACCTTTGATTCGTCCTCAGCGTGTTGTAGGAGATGCTGGATAACGTAGTTTCCGTACTGATCCTGCGCTAGCGTCTCCACACCACTCAAGAGCTCATTGAAGATGATATCCTCCTGATCTGGGCAGTGCTCCATTATGCACTGGATAACGCGGCAGCCGTAGGCGTGCGTAGCCAGTTCCATCACACGACCAGCAAAAGCGGAGATGATGAAGCCGCAGCGCTGCGGGATCACCTCCACACACTTCTGCACGACGTGGTTGCCGTTCTGATCTTGAATGCACTTCGCGACGTTTCCCTCGAGCTCGGAAAGAATGACTCGAAGGCCTTCGTCGGGCATTACCTCGATGCATTTTTGGATCACACGGCAGCCGTAGGTCTGCAGCGTTAGCTTCACAACATGACCGCTAAGACGGTTGGCGGCGAAGATCAGTTGTTGCGGGTTGCCCTTCTCTAGCATTTTTTGTAGGACGTAATTGCCAAAGATGTCCGTCACCAACTCCTGAGGGTTTTCGAAGATTTCATGGAAGAGAACATCAAGCTCGGCTGGCGCTGAGGAATCTACAGCGCCCTGAATAAAACGGCTGCCCTCCTGATCCTTCGCGAACTCCACGGCGTGGCCTTGGATATCATTTAGTCGCCACTGCCCGAAGTTCTTCATGCTCGTATCGGCTCGAAAGCGTCGTAGGAGGTCCGAGCAGTTCTGGTACCTCTGCCCGCCGCCCCCTCCGCCCCCGCCGCCTGATTGTGTGTTGGCGTTTTCACCATGGGCTCGGTTGTTGTTGTTGCGCATTCCCCCCCGTGCGCCACCATTGCCGCCGCCACGCCGGTTCCCTCCGAGGTTGTGGTGGCTTCCCTCTACGTTGCGGTGGGTGACGCCCTCCGCGTTCGCAGAGACACCACTCCCTGCGCCACCGCCGGGCATCATCACCATCATCCCCTTGTTCCCGCCGTGCATGCCCATCCCGTTAAAAAACGAGTCCATCCCCCGCTCCAAACCGTAAAGGTACGGGTTGGCCGCGGCGGCGTCGTAGAAGACGCCCCCGGCGGGGTGCTGTGGCATCTGTTGCAAGCCGTAGCCCCCGTACGCGTTCATCGGCTCTTGGGTGTAGTACTGCTGCACGGCGATGCTGCGTGGGGCGGGACGGGAGTTGGGGGTGGGGTTCGGCCCTGTTCCGGACGCGGCCGTGTTGGCGTCCTCGTAGGAGCTCACCACCCCGTTGTTGCTGTTCTGCGAGCGGTCCTGCGCGGAGGAGGGCCGGGGCTGGGGCTGGGCCTGATGGGGGGGCGGGGGCTGGGAGCGCGGGGCGGTCGTGTTCGGCAACGGCAGCTTCCCGTGGGCGTACGCGCGTAGGGTGCTGGGCGGGGCCATCGCCAGCGGGGTCGGTGCGTAGGCCGCGAAGAATTGCGTGCTCGGGCTGATCATATTATTCTCGTCATTGATCAGCGTCAGCGCGTAGGGGTTCATCACGGACTTATCGTCGTGTGTCTCCTTAAGGGTTTGCTCATTTAACTCGAGCCGAACACCCATTTTAAAGTTGCCGGTGCCGCTGGGGGTCTGCTGTGCGGCCTGAGGGGGGCTGGCTACCGTTGGGAGGTGTGAAACTCCCGCGCTGGTGGTGAGCCCTGGGTTGGGGACGACTCGCATTTGGTTCGGAGGCGGCGCACTATCCCAGTCAGTTTCTAGCACCTCAAATCCTTCTTGTGTCTCGATCGACGGCAGCGGCGGCGGCGCACGGGGGTCGCGTGGGACCTTGCTGTGATACCAGTAGTAATACTCCTGCGAGCGACGCATCTCCGGCGTTGGATCAAGATTGCGGTTGAGGTAGAGCTCGAAGTCCATTGGAGTGAAACGAGTGGCTGTAGGTGCGTACATGTTCGCACCCTGTATGTGCTGTTGTATGGTCGAGACACCACCGACGATGCCTTGCTGGGTGTTCCCCATCCCCATGGCATACTGAGCGTGTTGATGACGTTGTAAATTGACGTTGCTGAGCATGTTCGACCTGTTACCCATAGACTGGGGAGGACCACCACCACTGGCGTGTGGATTCAATGGCTGCATTGAGTGGTCCCGCTCCAGATTCTGCTGTTCAGAGTGGTCTTCCCGCTTGGCTGTTTGCATTTTTTTTGTTTCACTTTGCAATTTAAAATACAAATTGTTGTTTGATGACTGTGAACTATTCTGTAGTAGTAGCAACTATAAGGAAAAACGAAAGTCAATAGAAACGAGGGATATTCGAGAAAGGAATCCTTCGCTCCTAATCTAAAGGAACGGTTATTGAGTTATTTTCTAGAAACTTTTGTTTTTTTACTCCCTTTTGAGTAACAGAAAATGTCGAGATCCCTTTGATGTAGTATATTTTATATTTCTCAGTTAAAAATGCTTGCTGTTGTCCTCTTTTTTATTATTTGCCTGAAAAGACTATTTTCTGATCCTAATTTCAATAATATTACCGTTGTTTAAGCGTAATAAGGATTAAAAAAAAGAAGAAAAGTTGCTCAAGTTGGGTACATGTTAAACATTTTAAAGACATGACAACAAGCTTGCATATAGTCTGGATTTTTGGTTTGCGTACCTGCACACCGTTGGTTCTTTTTTCCAGCACTCAAATAAGCAAAATCAATACGTTTTATGGTTAATAACTAAATGTTTGTAAGTAGATTCGGCGTGCAGAGGAGGAAAATTTGTCTCGTTATGCAGCTACCGTAAAGGCAAAAAGATTATATTTATGACTTTAATGATCAAAATAATTTAGCAAGGACATCATGATTTTATTATTGCGTTATCTCTTAAACTTGAGGGCCCTACAACGAGCTTTGAGCTCATTCTCCTCACGGCTTTCTAAATCGCGATACTTTTGCTTCAACTCAGCCTCGTTTTTGACCATTTGTAGGACTTCATAGAGATCGGCTTCTTCGGTGTCGTCAACACAATGGGATTCAGTCACTCTTATAGATAGGGCGCCTCTGCTGTGCTTCTGTATGTGATTCTGAGAGGTAGGAGTGTGAAGAAAATCCTGTGAGGCCGTTAAATTTCCGGTGAAGCCCCCCGAGGATATGCTAGAGCTGTCACGCATGATCAGCGGTCCAATTTTTGTGTTAATAACGGTCTCATCAGACTGCGTAGTCTGCGGCCTTCCCAAGCCCACACCTGCATGGTCCGTGCTATGAAACGATTCCTCTTTAGTATCCTTTCTAACACGATTCATGCGCTCTTGATGCTTTTGGTCATCAGTTTTTTTTTCAAACAACCTGATCTTTTCCAATAATAAAGCATTTTCTGCCTGAAGAAGGTCAATTTTTTTTTCTTGGTTTGCGATTACTTTTCGCTGAGCTTCAAAATCTTTTCTGAGCGGTGAAAGGGCATGACACTTCTGTTGCAAATGAGAACAGGTTTCATTTTGTTTTTTCAGCTCATGTTCAATAATTACCACACGCCAAACAAGGTATTCTTTTGAGTAGTCTTGAAGTTTTGATGTTGTTAACTCGGTGGTGGCATCGGGGCTTGATCCTGCGTAGAGATCACTTGGTGTCGGACTCTTTGCCCTGTTTTTCACTCCGTTTCCTTGATTTACTAAATGGGTGTCGGGAATAATCTGCATTTGGTTAAATTCCACTTGGTGCTGCTGAGTCTGATTCACATTATGGTTTAGATTCCGCCTCGACTTTTCACCCTTTTCATGAGATGCCGAATGACTGCTTGAAACCTTTGGGGCTTGTTTGCTCATTGGGATTTCAGAATGCACTGGGAACCGATCAGATATTTACTAATGAGTCAAAGGTCAATACCTGCCCCAAAACACTGTAAAACGAATTTCCTTTCTTTTCTATACACACCTCTTTTTTTACTCTCCCAATAGGACGGGATGTATATATCTATTATATATCTAAATATTATTATTAAAAAAAAAAGCAAACTGAAATATAATCCAATTAAACAGTTTCCATACGAGATTGATAAGCTTTACCCTTGACCTATAATGAAAGCTACAATTAATAAAGGGTTTTTAAGAGAAGAACTAAGAAAAACAAGTTGTACTGTTATCATTTTCTAGTATACACCCCAGTTGTACTTCCTGAACTATCATCTGCAGATTCGTATGAGATAAAAATTACCAAAAGAAAAGCGCGTGTGAATAATAAATATCAGTGTGAAGCTCACCGAAATTAGCTTTTTGTGTATTACATGTGATCACCTCTCTCTATTAGTCTTTCTCTTTTATAGCCCACAGGAAATACACATTATATTCATTCCTAAAAACGCAACAATAAAAACACAAAATGTGTTAAAGGTATTAAAAAGAACACCACTACAAAGTATGTCACATATACACAATAAATTGAATTACATGCAAATATAGTACAACAGTACTAAAAGATAGCAAAATGCCTTTAACTGGCGCTATTTTTTATAGTACAAGGTTGTGGTATCACTTTTTTGGAAATTTTTTCCAAATTCGTAATAAACCCCTAACAATGCAAACAAAACCCCCTACAAGCTCAAACAATGAATAAAGGGGGGATGGGGAGGGAGAGTGAAAGGTGACAGCGCCATCAATACAGCAACGCGCTATTTCACTTCCTCTTCCTCTCCCCCCCCTTGGGGTTATATTTTTTTAATTTGCATGACTAATTTCTGGAAGACTCGTGAGTGTAGTGGTTTCGCGAGGTGGTCTGCTCTTCCTGCGAGAAGTTGCTTCGGACCGCCCGCGCGGAGGTCGCGGACGCGCTGGTGGAGACGACGCCGCGTAGATGAACCGGGGGCAGCCGCGAACACCGCCGTGGGGCGAGGTGGATCGTGCGGAATCCACAATCCCTCCCCAGGGACTCCCCCCCCGCGTTTTCCACAAGCCCGCTGGTGTGGGGTGAGTTGGAAAGCCGAGAGGCCGGGATGGGGCTGCGGGGGGTCTTCTCGGGCTCCCCTTTCGCCCCGGAGGGGCTGGAGAGGCGTGGGGCGCAGGCGATGCCCTGGGAGGAGGTTGGATAAGCCTGGCGAGGGACGCCCGTGGGGGTGGGGATGGCCTCGGCTAATCCGGAGTTGGCATGGCCCACAAGGGGCACGCGCGAAGTCCGGGATGGATAGAACCGCCGCTGGGAGGGGACCCCGGTCGTCCTATACCCGCTGCCGCTGTTGGGGTGGCTTAGCGGGGTGACCTCCGGCGTGGGCTGGGCGGGGACCTCTCCCCGCTGGGGCACCTCGGATGGGTGCCCGCTTTGAAATTCCGAGATTGTTTGGCTGTGGTTATTGCTATTTTTCACGCTTCCCATGTGGTTGTCATGGTTGTGAAGGGCTATAAAGCTGCTTTCCTTGGCGTCGGGTTCTAACACCGATGGCCGGGAAGACTGGGCACCGTCGTCGTCCGTCCGAGACGACTCGGCTTCCCCGTTCTCTCTACTGTGTATTTGCTTCTCTAGCTGCAATCGCCGCGCGTTCAGACGTTCTTGAATCATCTGGATGCCCAGGTGTGTTTTCATTACAAGTATCTGCTCGCGCTGGGACTCAATCGTTTTGCTTTGTTCAGACAGCAACATGCTCTCGACTAACATCTGCTGGCGTAACGTATTCAGCTGATTCCGCTGGCTACTCAAAAGATCATCTTGCTGTTTAACTTGCTTTGTTTGCATGTCGAGCTGCATGCGTTGGGTGGTAATGATATGCTGCATAGTGATGAGTTTGTCTTCGTAGGTCGACATGCGCGATTTCTGACTCTGCAGTAGGGCGCTCTGAACATCATTTTGCTCTTTATGTTTACCAAGGAGGTTGTTATAGAGTTCAGACTGCGTGCGCAGTGCGGTGAGGCGGCCATAAAGACTTTGAAGTTCCTCGGCTTCGGGAAATTGGCTCCGAAAGGTTTCCAGATTGTGTGACTTGGCGTAGCGTTCTTGAAAATTGCGAAGTCCCCAAGGTTGCTGGGAGATGCGCTTGAGCTCTAGTCCGATGAAGCGGTCTGGAAAGCCGGATTTTTTGTCCTCTGAGATCTTTTCCTCATTTTCGTTCTCGTTGCAGGAGCCCGGTTGCGGTTTGCAGGGGCGGGCTGTTGATTGAGGCTCCTTCTTTTCTTTCTTTGAGGACGGCTCTTTGCAGGTGGGGAGTCCGCCCCTAGGTGCGTTTTCCTCTTCCTCTTCCTTTTGAGTCGCCTCCACCGTGGCAGTCTCGGGTTGTTCCTGACGCTGGAAATAAAAACCCAGCGGTATATGGCAATCCGGGCATTCGACCCGATGAGTATAGCGAAAGTGTTTGAACCACGTAGCCCACGCAGCTGAGGTGGTTCGTCTGCGAACTGTTACGAAGGCCTCATTGAGCGAAAAATTACCCGCCCCTTCCCAGTGCGTCGGCGGTGGCGGCACCGCGATAGCATCGAGAATCGCTTGCGGAAGCTGCGGCGGACTATGCACCGTGTTCGAATTGGAGTTATGGGTGGACCCGGTGGACTGGTGCCGACTCCCTGCCAAATCCAAACTTTCCTCCCCCTCGTCCTCGCTGAAGGAAGTGGAGGCCGTTCGGTTCCGCGGCTTCGACTCCCCTTTCACGCTCACACAGGCGCTGCGGTCCTTCGTCGAGAGCTTCGCCCCGAAACCGAGGACGTGCTCATCCAAACAGAGAAGATCCACACGCACCTCGGATGTGGTGCCGTAGCATCGTAAAGGGCGGATATTACTATTCATCAAGGCGCCGAGACGTGTGAGGGTGGCCTCATAGCCATCGACGGGGGTGTGGCCCCCTCCCTCGACGCCGGCCTCGCCTTGAATCCCTTCCGATGAGGGCATTGCCGAAGGGCAAGGCCCTCCCCTTTCTTCCTTTTCCCCTCTTCCATTCCGCCCTTCCTCGGGGGGGTGCAGGCGGGCCATGACGGCGTTCTCCTGCTCCTGAGCGTGGGTGTGGGATTCCACCACGGACTCCAGCGCGAGCAACCGTGCGGCGGGCGCGAGTGGGATGTCGAG